AAAAAAAAAAAAAATCGCAAATTAATCGCACTCTGAAACTTTATTTCAAGCGCGAACCAAGCGCTTGGAAAGATAAATCTAGAGATGAATTATAAAGGGATATATTTTTTATGTGTTGATGATTTAACGCGTTATCCGTAAAGTGCAAGCAACTGGCTAATGAGGAATATCTTCGCAGTATCTTCGCGAGCGTCATAAATTCCGAGAGGATTCGCGCACTGTCGTTTGCGGTTTAATCCCACCCATTTTTACAACCCGGCCGGAATTGCGTTTCTCGCGCGGTGTAGGAAGGCGCCCGTGTACAACGGAGCGGGGTGTCTCGTGTTACAACACGAGCGTCTCGCTTACAACGACCGATGAAATCGCCGACGGGAGGTAGTTAAGTAAATTTATTATCCTGCCCTAACAGCCGAATGAAATATACGCCATCGTCAGTTAACCATGATAGGACCGCTGTACGTTCACGAAGACAGACGTGACGCGTGGTACGTCGCATGCAGTATGTACGTACAGCGCAACACACAATGCACATTAACATCTAATCCAAGACTTAACAGTAGATGCTACAAGACATTTCTCCGTTTTGCATCGACTACGCTGACAAATGTTCATTGTTAAACACGGCGAATTTTCTTTCATTTGCATATTCTTGAAATGAAATTCTAAATTACATTTTTTTCTAATATTTCCCTTAAGTTGTTATCGTAATTAATTTCCACTTTTAAGCCAGCGTGTCACAGAAGAATAACGAGATAAATAATTCTGAAATCTTCGTGAATACATTTGTGTCAGTTTTTGTGCATTATGAAGAAAAATGTTGTGTAAAGAATATTTAAAAAGTAGGGGTATAAAGTGTGCTTTACGGCTTTCTATTGCACTTATGTACGCCCAAGCGGCAAGTTCGTATACTTGGGTTTACGACTCATAGCATGAATAAGTGGCGTTACTCGTGGAACTTTTATGTATAAGCGATTTCTGCATTTGACAAAGAATAAGGCCGTCCTATGAGTGCGCTCAAGAGAAATATAAAGCAATATATCATGCAAATTATAGCACGATACAAAAGTACGTTCAGCTTCTTCTCGAACGAAACGTATTTCTGATGGCGACACAAGCGTGACACGTTTTTTGAAATGGTAGATACATAGAATTCAATTTCCTTCGCTAATTATTTAAATGTACAATTATCATGTTATAGCGTAAACTCGCTTATATTAAAGTAGATTTTTTATGAATAAAATGCGGGAGAATAAAATAAAATAAATTATTTATCATTCATTCATGAAACGCATTCGCATGATATAAAGCTTCGCTACAAAAATAATTGCGTTATAAATGTTCAAAACTTTCGTATATATATATATATATATATATTTAATTACGTTATCAGTTACATCCATAAAAAAGTTGTCAACAATTTTAAAATATATCTTCTGTTGCGCATACAAAAGTTATTTATTTTAAGCACCATTGCAGAGAATTAAAAATAACAATAAATTCCCACGTCAGTTGTCGTTGTCCGCCCCATGGCAATAGTTTTTACTTGCCCTTTGACATTATCTAGTATTATTCATTTTCACTCGTCTCTCGAGAATCGAATATACCTCACACATTTTCACATTTTTTTTTTTTATTATTACAGAGCGTCCCGGATCGCGCTGTCAATCGTAATGCCAGCGAAATAAAATTTAAGAGGCGGATCAACGATCCAAGTGAAAAATTCTCTGTCGTTCGTTCGCGCTCGTACGACTATAATTGATTTACGATAATGCTTCAGTGAATGTGCGTCGCTGAAAGCGCAGAGGATCTGACGGCACAAGGTATGTACAGTCCAGCAGAGAGTTCAGCCTATCTTTACCCGCTTTTTCTCTAATAGAATAATTCCGCGCTTTGTGCCAATGCAGTATGTACTTGTAATTAAAACCGTGTAGACCAAAAGTACTTGTAAAGACATCCGTGTGTGCTTGTTGAATAAAAAATGCCGCATTGTCCGTTAAATAGCGTTAATCGCGAGAAAGCATTTTGATTTTGAAAAGCAATCTTGGCAATGAGTGTCCAATCGAAAATACAGCTTTAATGACAGCATCGCGATTTTACACGGAAATCACACGTTGATATTTTAGATATCAACCGTGAAAGCTCAACAAGTCACTCTACTTTTATTTAATTAACAAATATTAAATAATAGAAGTACTGCAATTCTATAGCTCAAGACTTGAGAC